GATTTAATTATCTTTATCGCAAGCCACATAACATTCATCTCATTTCTTGACTTGTCTCAATTGATAGCTTTTTAATTGTGATCTCCAACTTGTTACCTCTTAGCTCTCACTCCATTCCATCCCACTCCACCCTTACCCCCAAACTCAAATGCCACCCTTGCTCGAAGTCCTATTAACAAGTGTGACATTCGCCCCCTTCGGGGGGTGATCGAGTTGGTGGAGTAGGTGAACGCGGAGACCAAAGGTCACTAGTTCAAATTTCATGCCAACATTCCCTCTGTCGAGCCCGTCGTACCGGGCTTGCCTAATGCGGTTTACCTTTTCTGTGTGGTTTGCAGGTTACTGCACACGAAGTCGGGTTTACTTAGTGCGCACTCACGGTAGTCGGGCCTCCGCCCCTTCGGGGTGGTCTAGGCTCCGTTAGTGGTTAGCGGCTACGGATTCCTACGTCAATAAAAAAAAGTGCGACATTCGATCTAGAGATTCAAATCAAAATCGATTCAAATGTATGAGCATCAAAATTAAAAAAACAATACATCAAACTACAAGTACAAAAAGAGGAAGGAAAAAGGTAATGTAGATGTGACCAATAAATGAATATCCTATAGGACCACCATCACTGATCCCACTCATGGGTGGAGCCAAGCAGTACTCTCTCTCTACTTTTTTTAAGTTAAAAAGCAATGTTTTATCTTAAAAAGTAATTAATTTTAACTTATTTTTATTAATAAAGCATTCCACAATAGTAATGGTATATTATTTTAAAATTTAAACTCGGATTCTAAAATCTTTGATCAATGATAAAATGGCCCACGGGAAAATTAGCGCTCCTAACTTCCTATGCTACTTTGCAAAACAATTAATTATACTTTAATAATTATTTCCCAATGTATCATTAAAGTATCACTATTTGTCCTATCTCTTATTATAAAAAAAACATTAATTTTACTATAGGTACGACTAGCAAATATTGTAACAATATAATAGATTCTATTAGAACTCGCAATTTTCATCTGTAAAGTATTATTTTTAAGGTCTGTTTGATTGCAAAAGTGAAATTTGAGTGGAAAGAAAATGAATTTTAGAGAATTGAATTGCCTATAATTGTTTTATTGGAATTATTAATTAATTGTGTTTGAATAGTATAATTTTTCACGTGGAAAATATTGAAATTTTGGATTTTTCGGTGTTCGTTTGACTTTGTTTTATATGAAAATTGTCCATTAAATAGATAAAATTTGTTACAATTTGAGATAGAATTTGTTTCCATTGTATATAAAAAAACATGGAAAACTATTTTTCCCACCAAAGTGGTGAAAAAACCAATTCAAGAAAAATAAGGAAAAATGGGTCACGTGGGAGATAGGGTGGAAAACCAATTCCAAGGAAAATTATTCCTATCAAACAATGTAGAAGATGGAAAATTGGAGATATCAAACAGGGCTTTATAGCAATTTTGTATTTAACTTTTAAAAAAAGAACAATTTGACCTCAACCAATTCATTAGGCCTGACGTAGGGGTGAGTCGATCATGATATTTCAATACCTGAAATTACCCATTACACTTTGAGTATTTCATAAATAGAACCATTCAAGTCCACGTAATTACTCGAGACGAATCTAGGTTCGGATTCAATTTTATCCATATTATTTTATTTTATTTTAAATAATCGTAGAGTCGATAATACAAAGTAGGGCATGATAAGACTATCTACTTGCTGATGTGACAGAAGAACTATACTTGCAGTTCTCTCCAAATGTGAAAATCGTAAGTAAGATTATCTCCAAGCAAATAAAATAAGACTTCTACTGTGGATAGTTGAACATTTGTAATACAAAGTATATTCCAATATCTAGCAAAAATAGAAAAAATAAAATGTCACCAATATATATTTCAACACTTTCTTAACTCTATGCAAACATGTCACCAAATAACATTCAATATCTTGCATAATAACATCCCATTCTAGTTATTGTGCTACATGCGACGCTTCAAGAAAGGTATGTGGTTAGGACAATGTGTAAAATACGGCCAAGAGTAGCTATAAATGAGAGCGAAATGATTCTATTATTCAAATGAATAAATCTGATCGATTATGTTAATTACTATTTGACCCTTAAAAAACTTATTGGACATTGAAAACTTATTTGTTGGATGTAATCATTGGGTTATGACGAACAAATTGTAAAAAAAAAAAAATGATAAATTCAATTTGAGAGTCGAGTACCCACGATTTCGATTAAAGAATCAAGAATCGTCAGAAACTCAATCGGTTATCGATTATCAATTTCAATTCCTAATTTTATTGGGTACAAGACTATAATCTCCAATTCCAATTCGATTCTGGGTGGAAAGGTTCGATTTTCATAAAAATGTCCACACCTACCTTTCATTGTAGAAGCATAATTAGTTATCAAGGACCGAAATCATTTTTATTATATGTAAATCATCACGCGAACCTCTCTTGTCTAAGTTTATGAAGCTACATTTTGTTTTCGGGATTTTCTAACTTGAATTAATGCCTAACAATTTTATGAGGATCAAATGACAATTTAATGAAAATTCACACAATTGTTGTTGATAAAAACTAATTCCGTCAACTGTAATTCAACACGAAGATCAACTTATCCCTTTCTAAGATAAGGGACCAAATGAATAATGAAGGAATAAGTTGGGGAAGTGTTGCAATTTTTCCAGATGCCAATTAGTTGTATTGAATTTAACTTATTTAAAAGGGGGAAAAATGAGTAATGCCAGACGCAGTGAAAATTATCAGTAGTCATCTTACGTGCCATACATGTGATGATTTGTGATTTAATACATCAATGTGGTAATTTTTTATTAATGTATGCATCAAATCACAAATCGCCATATATATCACGTGCACATACACGATCGTATTGTTGAAGTTTTTCTCCTATCGAATTATTAAATACAATTATAAATAATAGGGCTAGATTCTTCTTAAGTTAAATAGTTGAAAGAGTATTAGAATCGAGAATTGACGAGTTTGATTTAGTTTTCGATTTTAGACCAAGAGCTAAATAATCAATTAAGAATTAAATCTATATAATTTTTTTATATTAAATAAATCAAATTACTTTAAATTTTTAAAATAAATTTGCCAACTAACTGATTGAGTCCAAAAATATCATTTTCCCATTTCATTAGTCAACTAATTGATTAAGGCAAAAATATTATTTTCTTGTTTTCAGCCTAAACTCAACTTTTTAATTCAAATTTCAAATAATCAAAATTGAGTAACCTAATTTTTTCTCAATCATTCTATCGTTTCTCATATAATCAAAGTTGAGAGACCGTGTCTCTTTCATCTTACCCTTAGTCGGCCTTATTCATTAAATTTCCTCCACTTTATTCAAGGTGATTTGTATATATTGATGAATGAATTTTATTAGATAACTTGTTATTTGTATGTTTTTAAACTAGACTACGTTATTTTGTAGGAGTTGATGTACTATTGTTGTAAGAATTAAGATTGAACATGTCATTAGTTGGACTAATATAACATTTATGGTACATGAACGAATTGAACTGAATGAAATCAAACCGATTCAGTTTCATAATTAAATTTAGACTCAACGATTCCACTTATTAAATATTCGAAAATTCTTGCTCGATTAAGTTCTCTTTAAAACATAACCAAATTATGTCCAGCCCTAATAAACAGCACTAAACTTTCTACACCATTATCTTATTAGGTAATGGGTATAAAAAGGGAGGTAAAGTGCCAGAGAGTAGGGTGGGTGCATGAGAAACATGTAACATCTCAATAATTGAAGCAATAATGCAGGACCAGATAATGGACAAATACCAACCACACCGTAAATAAAAGCTCATCCCCAATATCATCACTTCATAAGTTAAATGAGTTCCCACTTGCTGGGTAGGAATGTTGGGTGAAAAACAAGTTATTGTTCAAACAGTCCAATAATAACATACCATGTGACGTGTTAACAAAGTTGTCATCCAACAATGTACACATTTTGTTGGGCCCGCCAAAATACGGGATATTTCTATAAGTAACACAATTCGACTATACTGGTGATAAGCACCAATTTAACCATCCATTAAATATTCTTAAATAATTGAACATCTTATACGACGAAAAATGGATCAGTTCAGTTCAAAACGAAAATGTTGACGAGTGGATCCAAACAAACAGTTTCAATTTGGTTTTGCGGTTTCTTTGTTCATTCCTAATCCATGCAAAAAATATGTTCATGTCTGGCTAAGCTAATTTTAAAATAAAACTTTATCAGATTCAAATTAAAGCAATAGGGGAAAAAAAACAGATTTGCTTTTTCCCTTTCTTTAGAGGAAACCACAGCAACATTATGTGGGCTGTTCGGCCTCGGGATTGGTTCCACTTTAACGCCTTCCAAGATTTATTGACCATGTTTTCATTCCTTTTGACAAATCCATATTTTTTTGGTCTCCTCAGTTAAAGGCAAAATGTGCTTTCATCTCTTCACTTTACTTCCTCAACCAAACATGCCCGTGACATCTACAGTCCCTACTCAAACTGAACTATACATTCAATGGAAAATTTAACAATTTACACAAGTTTCAGCATTTACCGTATGTAAAATGTAATTACATCCTGAGTACAAGGAATTTGTCATCAAAATATAACTCATCTTTCCCTCTCACAGAGGCCAGGCTTATACATGCATTGCGCGATGAATAGTTACATACATATAAAAGTACAATTTTGTACATTGAGAAAATATAAACATGGTAAATACCGCAGTTTCTGAAAGAAGAGACGAAAACATTGCAAAGCAAACAATATAAAACACAAATTCTGGAGGAAAAAATTAAGAAATTATAAAAAAGGAATTTACCATCTATAGCATAACTTTCTGTACACAATTTGTATAAGCATTTATGATTCTTCCAACTTCAAATTGTGGATGATGAGCATTCATATGAAAGCTGCAGCTCAATTTTGTTGCATATCTACAATATACATCCCTTGCTAGGTCTCAGCTTCTAAAGATGAAGACGAAAAGGACAGAAAGGATTAAAACATTTCAATGAATCTCTTATTTGAAGCAGATGAATATAGCAACAGAGAAAGATAGATATAATATACATTGTTAATAAATTGTGTTTTGTTGTTACCTTCATCAAGTTTGATCTCTAGAAGCTCTTGAATGGGCTGGCGACATATGGGACAGTTGTTCGATTGAAGCATCAACTCCTTGGCACAATCCCTGCACATACACTGAAAACCAACAAACATAAAATCTCACATTCAAGCTTTTCGGGCATCTGCTCTAAAGGACAATTCTACGTTGTTGAAGAAGAATAGAAAAGATACGAGGAAAGGATACGAATTCAGACAAGAAACGGAATCATCAAAGGATATATCTTTTTCATGTTAATCCCCATATCTAAACTTGATCCATAGAACGAAACTGTACAAGGATCAGCTGCAGATTCAGGCTCATGTATTTGTTTTTTAGCTAAGTTGCTTGTTCTTTACTATTCCAAAAAAAAAAAAAAATCAAATGCAGACTATCTCTGCTTTCTTCCTAACTTGTAAACAGTGAATAAGACCATTCTGCTACGGAAGAGACCACAACGCTGGTTGACTGCTTGCTACTTTTACGTTTTACAGTCAAACTTTGAGTCACCCTAAATTGACACAAGTGGTCGTCAAATACTGTATTATTTTTGAGTTTCTCAAGTAAAAGACTTCTTATGAAAAACTTCGTAGTATTTTTCCACGGATTTTCTTGATGATGAAGTTGAAAATGTTTGAACTCTCAGTACAGAGTTCCGATGCACACCCTAAAAAAAGGGACAATAATAAATAAAAAAAAGGTTCAGATTGCAAACACTCTGATATTCATACCTTCTAATAATAAGGAATACTAATTTGATAACACCCATCAACTGACTCTCTGAACATATATAAACTTGGTTACTATGTAATCACATTGGTATGCTCGTTATCATGTGTTATGTTTTGAACTTATAGCTAGTCAAAGTTTGGGCTCTTACCATATGTCTACAGGGCAAAACAGCAGTATTCTTCTCCTCAGTCATGCAAATGACACATTCTTTTCCCGAGTCCATGTTGCTGATGGCTGTTTCATCTGGACTGCTGATTCCATAAATCTCGCGCAGCTCATAACGAACGCCATCACTCCACAAAATTTGCTTGATTATTTTTACTTGAAAATTTCCTTCATCTTTCTTTTCTAAGACAGCCTGAGTGATTTGTGCATTGGAAGATGTATTCACCGCTTCCTCATACGGCTGTTCATCCATAGGGGTGGATGGCACATGTGACTCAGCTGATATCACAAGTGGGTAAATGTCTTCTCCTGGAGAGGGCTTTGACAAGTCATCAATGTCAAAGAAGCCTAGATCAACACCAGTTCCTGAAGGCTGGCAGAATTTCTGTCCCAGTCCTTTTTGAAATGGAATTTTTACAGGCACAATCTCAGGATACACTGGAGTGAATGTACAGTTGGCCCCCTCCTTGGCAAAATAGAAGATTGTGATACTGAAACAGAAGAGTCATATATATATAAGATATAGAATGTAATCTTTTTAAAATATGAACGAATTCCCCAGCAAGCATAATGACAACATAGGTAGAGATACTGAAGCAAACAATTTACTCATCATACAAGCCAACATATAGTGTCATTGAATACGCAAACTCAAAAGGGGGAACTAGGAAATATTAAAAACAGCTACAAACACAAAATGTTACCTTAAGCAAAGCAAAACCAAGGTAAACGCATTGCATCTCACCAATAAAAAGGGACCATTGATGTCTTACACCAACTGCAGATAGCAATCTTGACACCACCCCTAAAGAACTATCCCACTGCAACCAACATATATCCCGCATTATACTTCCACAGTTAAAGCCCCAATCAATTCTGTTGCTGTTCACCAAACGCGAAAGGTCTACTGAGTACAATTCCATTTTTGTTTATTCCATGGGATCAAGCATTGGGCACTCCCTCTCCAGCTCCTTCTCTTCTAGAATTGTTTAATTTTACTGTTTACATAGATCAAATAGCCGTGTTGATGGAAATGTAAAGAAGTCCTTGCAATGGCGTCAATCCAATAAAGAACTCAGTGTCATTTAGCACAGAGATGGTGGAAGGTAATTGAATGACTTTGAAGATGTCCAGCCACTCTCAACAATTACAAAAATGATATCACACTGGTGTTGATTATGTATAAATAGGTCATGCTTTGTGTTTGGTGGCCTGTATCCTGACGTGGGAAGGGACAATGTCTTTCTTATATTGGTGGAGGATCAATGGAGGAAGTAAGAATGAGGAAAACGAGAGGAATTCATTACAATGACACAGTAGAACATTTCTCTCCTTTGAATCAATGGCATAGTTACTGAATGAAATTCACAAGCATCCAAAGACCTCATGTCCTCATTCAAAGGACCCCAAGTACCCGATATCGATGGAGTTCGATCATATGTAAACTATTCATTGTCAAATGATATCCATATTGTCCACCAATAGGGTCATTTCAATTTTGGCCATGGGACATATTGGTTCAAGAGAGGAGAGTGATTACGATACCAACTACAAAGATTAATTCAATCCACAATGACAACTAAAAAATAAAACATTTTTGTTACTTAACCAGCTATCATGAGAGCAAATACAAGGGGTATACTAATCAATAAGATTGATGAAGTAGCAAAAGGAAAACGTCATTTTTTGTGGATTGAGTACAACCGTACAATAAATTGACCCATAACTTCCATTGAAAAGAGAGACACATAGAATCCATCGTATAGATAAATGATCAAATTGCAGCCCTCCCATTTGAATATTGAGGTCATGTATCTCTCTATTTTAAATTGATTATTTATTTGGGGCTCAGTGACTGTCCTTTCTCCACATTTCTATCGAGTGAAACACTGATCCTATCCTCTTCCTTGGAAATGCAACCTTTAGGCTAGTTCCTAATTTAAGCCACCAACTTAATGAATGAATTATTCAACTATCTACCTCATGGTCCATTAGAATTGAAGGAGAAGTGATGGATTATTCAAGAATCAATATCAATTTGGTTTTTAATGACTAGTTACAAATATAATTCGCAAGACTCTTCATTAAAACAGCACGGTTGCAATTTGCCCAACACTAACTAGATATTTCTAAAATTTCATCACAGCTTCTCAAAGTTGAAACTGGATATAATGCACGATATTAACTTAGGGAAATCATTTTTTTCTGCCTCAGCGCCAGTGAGATTTATGTCTTCTATCGGCTGGGGGCTAGGGGATAGAAAACCAATTTTATTCTAATGTCTCTCTAAGAGCTTTATCTCTTTGCACTTTGATGCTTAGATTTCCTAGAACTGTAATTGATTCACTTCAGTTCTCTCCCATCTCGAAATCAACTCTAATCAAGCAATCAATAGTTTCTTACAGGTTTTTAACCATCAATTACATCCTTAAACCTTTAAAATATTCCCTTTAAAGGCCGGTAACACAGTTCAGATCCTTAACAATCAAAGCCAGAGGTAAACGACAAAACCATATTCTGATCAACCCAAAAAAATCACCATCCACATCCAACACAAGCATGCACATACAATATCGCATAAACTAACAGAAAACAGAAAGATAAAGAATAACATCAAGTATAAGCATATGTGAGCGAGAGTTAAATACCTTCCATCAACCAAGGCATCAAATGTGAAGGTTACCAATTGGTAATCTTGGTTCAGCTCATCCACTTGAAGCCTGATGGTGTCCTTGTGAATATTCACATCATTCTTGATCTTCTTGGCACTCTGGTGATCAACATAAGGCACTGGCGGCGGCGGCGGCGGAGGCGGAGGCGGAGGGATTGGGCCCCACCTCATAGGGGGGCGGGGGATGAAATACGGACGGTAATTGGAGTTTTGACCCGTGATATGCATCGGCCTAGAATAGTAATTAGAATAGTTCTGATTATAATTGTAATTAGGAAGATACGGAGGAGGAGAAGGGGGAGGAGGCGGCAGCGGCTGCGGCGCAGGGGGAAGGTGCTGTGGTGTTGAAGAGGGTGCATGATAAGGGGCGTTGGCTGCGAAGGAATAGCTTGGTGGTTCAGGGGGTTGGGCTGGTGGTTGTGGTAGGCAAGCATTGGGTGCTGATGGAGACGGTGGCGGTGGTTCGACAGGGGTGACCGGAGGAGGAGAAGGAGGTCTAGAAGAGGAGGATGGAGTGACAGGTGGTTGTTGGTGGTGGTGATTAACTTGGTTCTGGTGGGGCTGGTCGTGACGATGCCTTTTACTCCACGAAATGCCCATTTAGATTCGAAGTCGCGGCCGGTGGCGGTGGCGGAATGGTTGGAGAATTTTTGGTCTAATTAGGAGAAGACAAGACTAATCGGTAGTTGGTCAATTTTTATTTTTTTTTAGTATTAATTGTTTTATATTGTCGATGAATTTTCTACCCTTTTGCACCAAGAAAAGAATAATTCCACCGTCGACGCTAGCCAAGTTGTCATGCACCATTCTATCTTTTCATTACATTGATATCGCAGGACATGACATGATAACTCTATCTTGACAATGGAAGAATCCACTCCATAAACTCTAGCTCATATCTCAATTCATATTCATACCTAATTCACAAAAGATCTCATCCAACCGCGTGATAACTTATGTTATCATGGATCTCTATAAAATTTCAATCCTTAAAAAAAAAGACGTCAAATCTAACTAAGTATGAAAGGTCCTAATTTCACTGATATTAAGTGTGATAATTAGTCCTCGACACTTTTCTCTTCTTTAACCTTCCATCACATTTTAAGGGGCTTCTCGAGGACTGTTGCCCCTGTTTGGTTTTGTTACAAATCAGATTTTTAGTTGATTTTGATAAAAATTGATAAAATATATTGTTGAAAGTTAATGAAAATAGTGAATTTCATAAAATGTATGATTAAAAACGAATTTGAAAAATAAATGAAAGGTACAAGAGCCTAAATCACAATCATGCTCTCACATCTTAAAGTTGCATTTCAAGTTTCAACTGCATCATTTGTCATAATTTGTGGGAAGAAAACAAGAAGCAATAATAACTCAAGATGTGACAAAAGATCATTCCCAAATAGAAGTTCTTGATGATCTTGGTGCCAGCTCTAGAACCGAACCAAATTCAAAACCCTTCATCAACATGCTTATTCGGATAATTCAAAACTAACAAGCATTAAAGGCATATCATATCAAAACCCTAATTAATCAATAACTATTCAAAACCATTATTCTGATACTACCATTGAATCTATCAAATTATCACGAAAAGAAAAATAATCTACCACAAAATCGTAATAAAACACACATTAGTGTGGTATGAGCCGGTTCACTTGGTTGTGTGCAACCTCTCTATGTTGAGAAGCAACAACATACATAGACCCCCCTCCCCCCCCCAACCCAATCGTGGGTAAACTCTACTTGCAATAGTTAATATGCATTTGGTAGAGCTTTTTGAGGATTTAAAAGCACTTTTGAAGGTGGAAAGCGCAATATGATCATGATCAATTGGTGATTCAGCCACTGAGTCATCATCATCTTTACCATTTTGAAATTCGAGTATAAACATATAGAGAAAAAAATAGACGAGGGTGTGAACTTGATTTTGCTTCAACAATATCTCAAATTTGGTTCTTGAATTGTGGGATATCAAACTTTTTCCATTGTGATTGAGTTTCTAATCAAATAATGAGTATTTGGTGAGTAAGCAAGCCACAAGAAGGCAAGTAATTCAACATCTGATTTCTTGAAATTCAAATAAGTTCTACAACTTAGAACTCGGTTAGATGCATGCTAATATGATTACACCTACATTAAAAGAATAGTGTCACAGAGCCATTGACATAAAAAAATAATAATAATAATAATAATCCTTAGCTTTTCAAAGTTTTCTTCGTGTAAAAAGTTCAAAAGTATAAAAATAACTTGATTTATACTAAAATAATTGTGACATGATAATTTAATTTTATAAAATTTAAATGAAATTAAAATTATTATTTATAAAATTATATGAATAATTAATGTTTAGTCAACTAACTACGTAGTCCATATGAATAAAATTTAAAAAAAAAAAACTTTTTAATTAAGCTACCAACACAGTCCATTTAACGCTGACATCACTTTTTGAATCGACAATAAAAAGGCATCAACTATTTAGTAACACCTTTAGGAGAAGCTTTATTGACAAAAGCACTACTCGCAACAATCGTGCCAAATAGACTCCTAATATTATGTCCATGTTGGTTCCGTAACTTTCGAAAGTTTCCATATTAGTCCCCTAACCTTTTATAGCATCCGAAATTAGTCATTCTCAAGGTCCGAAAGTGGCCAAATTAGGCCCCAAACTTCTGAGTTGAATCCCGTAACTTGCGAGCTTCCTCTAATCACTCACTGAATTCTTCTTATAAATCCCATGCAATTCAATTAGTCTCAAATTGCTCTATTTAAACTCCAATTACGCTCAAAATTCTCATTTTCGTTCCAAACGCCTCTAAATTTGAGTTTTACCTACAATGACAATATTTACACTAAATTAAGTACAAATCCGTTTATTTGCTAGTATATATCAAGTTTACAAGTACGAATAAACGTGTAAAACACACTTATCAAATCGCAAAAAGATTATTTATATAATACACGAGAAAAGAGTTATTTCCAAAGCAGTAACTTTTTATAAGTAGGGCCCGTTTGGTACCGATTAAAATCCAATTAAAATTGAAAATATAGTCGTTATTGAGCTCCATTCGTCTAATAAAAGTCAACAATAACGGTTAATTTTTCAATTTTAATATGATTTTTTCATTTCTACCAAACGGGCTCGTAATAATGAAAGGTAGCTTACACAAAAACCCTTGAGAAAAAGAAAAGAAAAGAAAAAATTACTTAAAAGTAACTTTGACTTTTTATTAATTCTAGCGTAGCATCCTCTAGAGGATGCATTGAATCACTGCAGAAATATGACAAAAGTATGTATTAAAATTCATGATTTCAGTTGAAAAGACTTTTGCTTAAACGCCTTGTTTGAAAAACTATTTTTTAAAGTTGTTCAACTTGTAATTGAAATTGCACGAAACCGAAGAATTGTATAACTAGTTTGATTCTCTCAATAAAACACGTAAAAATGAACGTTCATTCGAGAGATTCACATTACAATTTGATTCAAAATGTAAAAATTATTTTCAAACACATTCTATAAGATTCAAAACTTTTCGTCACTTTTCAATAACACATTCTCCAAATAAATAATTTTTAACTCGGAAAAAAAATTGTGCCGAACGAGCGTGTTGATTGGAATGGATTATGATTGGGGAGGTTGGGACCAACTTGTTGATGGGACAATAGAATGGACAAATGGTGCAATATTCCCTTGCATTTTAGTTGGTACCAACTCACAACATTAGGCCCTGTTTGGGAGGAATTAAATTTTTTTACAGTAAATCAATTCTCATTTTTAACAACACATTCTTCAATAAAATAATATTTTCCATCACATCAATAATTTTTTCTTCTTTTTCAACCACACATTTCGCATCATATCACTATTCAAAATCAATTCTTCCCGAAAAATTCACTATTCAAATCAATTCTTCCCCAAAAAATCTCTCCCAAACGAGCTCTAGATGTTTAAAGTAGAATTCAAGAATTATATTTCTATTTTCTTTACCCAGTGAAGTAATAGCTTTCTTCTTCTTTCACCAAACATTCTTTTGCTCAAGAACTTGCAGAATACCACAAAGATTTTATAGTTGAAACTTTTAAATATCTAATGGAGTATGGCTGAAGGTAATTTTTTTAAAAAATATATAAAAAATAATGTTCCTTGAAAATCTAAAATATGAAAATCGAAGCTGAATTTACACAAGGAATGTCAAGCTTTAAACCCGATTCAAAGGACTTCGCAAAATGAATTAACTAATGGACGAGATCGACTCATTCAGACAAGTTGAAACTAATGTAGGCATTCGTCTTGAAATGTTATCGAATTAAAACTAAAATTATTAACTCAAATAAATATAATTAGTATTAACAAAAACAAAGGAAAACAAAGATCTAAAACATATGTTAACAATAATAAAAGTAAATTGATGTTGTCTTGTCAATCTTGTTTTTATCGATAGTTTTATGGAATGATATTTTTTTTTAGATTGCTTGACCGACTTTATACATCTAGAGATAGAATTGAACTATTCAACAAGAGCAATGCCCTGTGTACCTGACTTCTTCTTACGGAGGCCTTACAAGCCTCTCACATGTGGGGCGGACCCCACATGTATTCTGGCAGGTCCTGTACTCCAATCACGGACCATTCAACAATTTATATACTATGAATCTATGAGTTCCATTTTGTCTGAAAATTTTCTGTCCTAACCTTTACAGTTTGTTTATTTTCTTGGTTGAATAAGCTGTACCTCCTACTCCCACTGCCACTGTAGTGTTCCCTCAAAACTCGGGCAATTAGCTTCTCTTGCCACTATACGCAGATCACATGCAAACTTATCTAAAGAGCACGTTTGGACTTTTGAGAATTACATAACAAATTTAAGAAGAGAAGTGTGATATTTGTGGGCTGTGGACCATCATATATGTTCATAATTGGAGTTAAGATTTAGTCTCTGTTTGGCTTTTTCTCTGCTTTTTTGTTCATTAATTAGTTCAGATTAGCAAGTGACAAGACATGATTTCAAAAGCGACGTCACTTATATAGTGTTGCGACATCTTGCTATTTGCTAACTTGAATTGAAGAAGTAAGCTGTCAATTTTTTTTAATGAGGGGAGAAATCTCCAGATTTGGGCGATGACATCAAGCTTATTCTCTTTTTCATGAAGTGCTTTATGAGCATCATTCCTTTACCAAAAAAGCCCAGTACAATCCAAGTTCGATCAGTCAAGTAAGACATGAAACAAAAGGTGTATCCAACGGGATTCAATCACGAAGGTTTTTCCACAGACAAGCATGGTTGAAGAGCAGCTTTCATCCCAACGAGAACTACTTACTTCTTGTATGTGGTGGTATAAATTTTTTCCTAATTAAATTAGGCTCCTACTGAATCCGACTCCTAAATCCGCCACTAACTTTTTATTGGACAACATGCAATTTGTATCACCAATCCCATAACTGATGAATCCATTAGAATTTCAACTAATGTATTGCCCCAAGGTTTCACAAAAATTTAGATGATAAAATTTGACAAACACGAGACAAGACTGGTTTGTGAGGCAATTATTTGCAAGTGTAGACAAGACATGCATCCAGAAGGTCCAAAATTTGGGCTAGA